AAAATCCGCTTGGTGGTACTTTGATCGCTGCGAACTCATTAATCTATACTTTGGTGATCTCTCGGGAAGTACCTTCAGAAATAGGCAGTATGCGATAGATGAGTATCGGGATACGACTTTAGGAAGTTATATTACAAGTATCGAACAACAGGTGAAAGATAAGTTTTACTCACTATTCCATGAAGCTCTATGAGTGCCCTTTTTGACGTTCATAAACTAGCTAAGAAAATAAAAGAACAAATTGGTGATGGTTTAACTGAAGAAGATATTCTATCTCTTTTGCTTATCGATGAAGAAGCCTATCAACGTGATAGCCCTCGTTCAGTGGGTAAGAGATTAACCCTTTTATCGCTTGAGTTTTCAGGTATCAAAGCGGAGGATAAGCCTTTTCATTATATCAGACAATTTTCCACAGGTGTTAATTTATGGGTTGGGGATAACCTAAAGGGTAAATCGTCCATTTTTAAAATTATACGTCTAGCGATTACGGGCGACACAAAGATGGCCCGCGATGTACTCGCTTGGATAAAAGAAATTTGTGTTGAATTTAAAGTAGGGCTCAATACTTATACTGTTAACCTTTTGATTGATGGTTCCAAGTATACTATTGAGCTATTTAATAAGGACCGTCAATCTACTGACTTAGCCAATGAAGAGGAGCGAGCTTCATTTTCGATCTTCAAAGGAGGAATCGGGAATTATGAAGAGTTTATTGGGGCCTTCTTCTTTCGTGAGTTCGATTATTATTCGATGCAGTGGACTCAAAAATCATCGGTAAAAGATGATCCTCGCCTATTGACGTCGAACGCCAGTTGGAAGACCTACTTCAAATCTGTTTTTCTAGAAGCAGAAGATTATGGCAAATTATTCTACGGAAGCCAAGCGGAATTAATTTTCCAGATGCTTTTGGGCTTAGAATTTACTTATCCTATCAATCGTATTAAAGTTAAGAAGGAAAATCTTCAAAATCAGTTAGGCCTTTCAAAACTTGCAGAGACTGCAATCGCCCAATCAAAGGCAGCTGATTACCAAAAGTTGCAGGATGAATTAAACATAATTATCCCCAAATTGGCTCAGTTAAATTTAGAAAAGGATGCGGCCAAGAATGTGGTCGTGACAACCACTGAAGAGGAACTGGAGCGGGCTCGCCAACGTCACCAAGTTGCTACAGCTCGTCGAGCTGCTCTCGATGATGAAATTGAAGAGCATAATCGTACTCTTGTACGTTTGCGCAAGGAGTTTGTTCGGCTTGGAGAAGACGTATCCAATTATACGGTAGATATTAATAAAAAGGAACGTAAAATCACCGAACTTCGCGAATACATTGATCTAGGTGCATTCTTTAGTAGCTTAGATGTGAAGGTATGCCCACACTGCAGCCACGGTGTAGAAAAAAATAAAGTTGTTCACGAGCAGCAAACAGGTAATTGTAGACTCTGC